AGGTGCCTTATTTCTAATTGATCTGACTCTAGGCACCATGGCTCTATGGCACCTGTCACCATGACACCTGCCTGGAACCCTGGCACCATGACAATTGCCTATCTTATCCTCAGATCAGACTGCCCCTTGCATGCCATTGCCTGGGTGGAGTTTAGCCACTCCCCCAGGCCTGAATGTTAAGACTTCTACGAACCTCCCCAGTTAAGAGTTTGTCCACCTTTTTAAGCAGTTGCTTTCTCACTGCTGCCCTCTCCCTGGCTCTATTTCTCACCCACCCCAACTTGTCCTAGCTTGCTGCATAACATGCATAAGTATCTAGTGTGTAAAGGATATTCACTCAATATTTTGTTGAATAAATGATGTTTACATTAATCATGGAAATGGGACTATAGTCAGCTAAGCATAGGCATGGGTGTGGGTAGTTCTGTAAATCATTGTATATTTAATACTCAACGCTGGGCCTTTTGTTGATGTCTTTCTATTCATTCTGATTGTCGGAAGCTCATTCTGTAACATACTTCTCAGGAAAGTCACATGGGAACAACATTTCCCTGATAGCAGTTTATTCGTGCCCTTTGTACTTGAGTCAGTTTTACCCTAAAACAGGTATTTCAAACTTTAACATCTCAAATTTCTCAAAACCCTGATCACTTCTTTCTGTCTTCTCATTGGCAATAGCAAACCTCACCTCCAACATTATAGAGGAAAGAGAAGCACCGTTTCTGAATATAAAGCAGATAAACCTACTTTCCTCCTTCCTGTTGTTAAAATTGAGAGCCTGTCCTTCCCTGGTGGCTCAGGCGGTAAACAATCTGCCTACAATGCAGGAGACCTGGGTTTGATCCCTGGGTTGGGAAGACCCCCTGGAGGAGGGCATGGCAGTATTCTTGCCTGGAGAATCCCCATGGACAGAGAAGCCTGGTGGGCTACAGTCCATTGGGTCGCAGAGAGTCGGACACGACTGAGCGATTAAGCATATCACAGCACTTCTCATTTAGATTCCATTCCCTCCTTCTAAGGAACATTACACTGTCAGTTACAGTTTTTTGTTCTTGTATGTTTAAACTTTCTCTTTCTTGATTAGATCCTTCTTATCAAGTTTTAAATACATTCCAGTCATTCCCATTAAAAAAAAAAAAGGCACTCAATTCCACATCCCCCCTCCAACTATCATCCTATGATCTTATTATCTCCTTCCCTTTGTGACACACTTTTTGAACACGTGGATTTATGCATGCTCTGCAGCTGCAGTGGTTGCCTTCTCAACATCCTTCTCCCATTTTTCCCACAGAAGCTGATTCTGTCACGGCAGCAATGGGTCAAACTCAGTTCAGTTCAGTCGCTCAGTCGTGTCCAACTCTTTGCGACCCCATGGACTGCAGTACGCCAGGCCTCCATGTCCATTACCAACTCCCAGAGTTTACTCAAACTCATGTCCATTGAGTTGGTGATGCCATCCAACCATCTCATCCTCTGTCTTCCCCTTTTCCTCCTGCCTTCAATGTTTCCCAGCATCAGGGTCTTTTCCAATGAGTCAGTTCTTTGCATCAGGTGGCCAAAGTATTGGAGTTTCAGCTTCAGTATCAGTCCTTCCAATGAATATTCAGGACTGATTTCCTTTAGGATGGACTGGTTGGATCTCTTTGCAGTCCAAGGGACTCTCAAGATTCTTCTCCACCACCATTATTCAAGAGCATCAATTCTTTGGCACTCAGCTTCCTTTATAGTCCAACTGTCACATGACTACTGGAAAAACCATAGCCTTGACTAGAGGGACCTTTGTTGGCAAAGTAATGTCTCTGCTTTTTAATATGCTGTCTAGGTTGGTCATAACTTTTCTTCCAAGGAGTAAGCATCTTTTAATTTCATGGCTGCAGTCACCATCTGCAGTGATTTTGGAGCCCCCCAAGATAAAGTCTGCCACTGTTTCCACTGTTTTCTCATCTTATTTGCCATGAAGTGATGGGACTGGATGCTATGATCTTAGTTTTTTGAGTGTTAAGCCAGTTTTTTCACTCTCCTCTTTCACGTTCATCAAGAGGCTCTTTAGTTCTTCACTTTCTGCCATAAGGGTGGTGTCATCTGTATATCTGAGGTTGTTGATATTTCTCCTGGCAATCTTGATTCCAGTTTTTGCTTCATCCAGCTCAGCATTTCTCATGATGTACTCTGCATATATGTATGTATAAGTACATGGGTCAAACTAAAGAGTTTTATTTCCTAGCCTCCCTTGCAGCTAGGAATGTCCACATGGCACAGCCCTGACAGTTGATGTGAAGTCAGCTGTGGATTTACAGACGATGTTTGCTTTCCTGGTATAGGTATTAGACCTTTCCCCTGATGTTTCTTTCTTCCTTCTGTCTGTAGCAATGGCTTGATAGTGAGTAGCCATTTTGAATTCCTGATTGGAAAAAAAACAAAACAGAAAAAGCCACACACTGAGGATGACAGAACAGAAAGAAAGGTTCTAGGACATTAGTGACATCATGGAACCACTGCACCAGCCTGAATGTCGCCCTCTGTCATTCTTGCTATGTGAGAAAAATAACTCTATTTAGTTAAGCTACTGTCATCAGGTTCCATTACATGTGACCAAATGTGATTCCTAATCTATACTCTTGCTCCCTACATTTCCTCACTGACCTTTGACTCACTCTCAAACCATTCCATTCTGGCTTCTGGCCCATCATTCCACTGGACTGACCAATGACCTGCGAGTTGTGAAATCCAGGGGACATTCTCAGTTCTCATATTACTTAACCTCTCAGCAACATTTGACTCTGTTGTCCATGATTTCCTTTTTGAAACGCTGTCTTCTCACGGCTTCTGTGGGTTAGTTCCTTCACCTCTAACTTCCCTCTCTGTCTCTTGCATGGATTAATCTTCATCTTCTAGACAAATTTAACATCTTTCAGCCTCTATAACACACCATGGCCTCAGCAACATGCTTTTCCCTCTATCTGAAATATTCTCCCCATCCCCCTCTTGCCAGCTAACTCTTCCTCATCTTTCAGTTCTCCATCCATCTTCACTTTTTCAGGAAGGTCTCCCTTGACCTCTTTGTGAGGTCAAATTTCCTTATTCTGTATTCCTTCATAGCTCTTACATAGTTATAACTTTACTATCTTAGTGTAACTCTAAGTTGCCTTTCTCTTCAGAACGTAGGCCCCATGATGGCAGAAACCAGTCTATTTTTGCTCATCATTATGTCTCCAGAACTCTAAATATTCCCCAACACAGAATATGTGCTCAAGAATTAGTTATTGGTACTTCCCTGGTGGTCCAGTGGTTAAGACTTCGCCTTCCAATGCAGGGGATGCAGGTTTGATCCCTGGTCAGGGAACTAAGATCCCACATGCCTTGGGGCCAAAAAACCAAAAAATAGAAAACAGAAGTAATATTGTAACAAGTTCAACAAAGACTTTAAAAATGATCTACATCAGAAAAAGTCTTAAAAGAATTAGTTCTTGGAGTAAATGGATGAATATGCAATTATATAGTGATATTTTATTGTCTGTGTTTTTCTAGCTCCATGAGAGAAGGAAACATCTATTTTATTCACAATTGGATATGCAATACCTAACATATACTACATGGCACATAGAAGGAAACATAATATATTAATTTTTAATGAATAAAAGAATTAATGGATGAGTATGGTTTCAAGATAGATATTTTAGTAGCTCCACCAGCAGCATGTCATTGTTTGGGTTTTTGTTTTTTGGTTTTTTTTACTATCTTTTGATTAAGTTTCTAGTTATGATAGAGCACCAAATATCTTTTTGTCTCTAGAGAACAGTCTTTTTGGAAAATATTATCTATTAACTTCAATATATCATGTCTAAAATAGGCTGTCTGTAAAGATCATGAATCTATACACTTCTCCCCCTCTTCACTGCTGTCACCCTCATCAAACTCACTATCATATTTCCCATGGACTAAATTGGACCACACACTTTTCCTTAAGCATGATTTATTAAGCTGTCCATAAACTTGAATAGTCCAGAGGTTTTATTATATCTCAGGACCAGAGATATATCTGTTTATGTTATCTCAAAAAAAAGTAGGCATGTATATACTTTTACCATAAAATATAGCATAAATTTTTTTTTTGTCCCAGAACAATGTGTTAATTTAATCAAAACTTCCAAGCTACTAGTTTAGCTTAAGGAAAAAAATCATATAACCTAACCAGCAAAGTCCTTAGCAAGCCATTTACATATTAATTTTTCAAATATACGTGTACATTTGACCCTTGAACAAAGCATTGGTTAGGGGCACCATCTCTTCAAAATCCTTATATAATTATGGAGTTAGCTTTTTGTATCTGTCTGTACTTTCACACTTGAGGATTCAACCAACTGTGGATCCTGTAGTATGTATCTACTGAAAACAAAACAACCCCCGCCCCCTGCAGTTAAACCCGTGTTGTTAAAGGGTCAACTGTGTATTCCTAGCTGGGAACCCTCTAATTTCTGAATTCTGGAACAAATGAGCCGTTGCCACACAGACTACAGCCTTTTCCTGGACTTTTTGCACAAAGTCCCCTCTTTCCCCTCCTGTGGGACTTCCACAAATTTCTACCAACACCTGGCATTCAGGGCATTGTCACCCCATAGAGCAATGTACCACAGAAAGATGAAGGCTGGGTGATTGGCTTAGCAGCAGATGAAGGTAGGCAAGTAAACTTGACAAGGTTAAGGACCTGAGTACAGATCCCCTTATGCTATTCAAGCTGTGGACTTTTATTAAAGTCTTCATGTTGCCACAGGGAAATGCACACCTTAGTCTAAGTCACTTCCTGATGCACTTCTCACTCTGCAAGTTTCCTCCCCTTTTTAAAGACACCAACAAGCCGTTTGCCAGGCTGAATTAATCAAACACAGATGTCCTAATTCCTCGCCCCCAGCCCTAAGCTATGCAAACTGGGGAGACCAAGGACAGAAATAAGATGTACACAACCCCCACTCCATCTGGCAACATATATTCAACATGCTACATAAAGTATAATTTCCATTTTATTGTCTTTTCAGAGAAACCAATATTTCTTCAGTCTTTAAGGACTTGGATCCTTACATGAGCTTTGGTGGAGGACGTGGGGCAGCACCCGCAGGTCTAAATCCGGGTGGAGGTGTTCGCTCCTTCTGGGCTTCCCGAGAGCGATTCCTGACTGCCTTGCTGTGAATGGCACAACTCACGAAGTAATGTAGTTTCACATACAACTTGGGAAGTACATAGGCGTCGAAAACACTCACTTCAGAAATGTCCCTGACGGCTGCGGCCTCTACAATGTTCCGAATGACGAACTTCTTAATGGCCTTATCCTTGGGCACGCATCGGGCACAGTTAGTGCAGCGAATAGGCTGCACGTGGCCACGGCCCTTTTTGGCACGACCGTTCCTTCTTTTCTTGGTCATCTTGGAAGCATGGAGGCGAGAGAGCTAAAATATAGCATAATTTTTTGTTGTGGCAGAGGATTATTTCCATTTTTCATTCTGCAAAATATTTACTTAAGGAAAAGAAGTATTTTTAAGCTAGCAGCAAATCTTTGTTTTCAAATGACCAAACTGAAAACATTAAGTTTAAAAACAAAAACAGCCAAAGACCGTTTAACTGCCCCTACCTCCCTGCCCCATGAATTCTTAGCCTTTGAAGTGCCTGAGATGCTCAAGAAGATTGACAAGAAAAGTCAGTTAGGCAATTTTGACAGCCCTGAGAATACACCCAGTCTTGTAGTCAACCTATCTGGATCCTGCCTTTCCTCCAAGGTCAAGCTCCTGTCTTTCTTCCTCAACAAACCTTCCCTTCACCCACTCACAGCTGTGAGGCTCAACTTATTATTAATATCTATGTTTAGTAAACATATGTGTATATGTATCCTTTTTCTCCGATCAGCCTGAGAAGGATGGAACACATATCTTACATACTTTTGTATTCTCAAAACTTAGTGCAAAATCTTCTAGGTAAAAGGTTTTTCTGCTGTTGCTTGTTATTATTGCTAATTAGATTTACCAAGCACTTGCTATTGTGCAAGGCACTGTGTTAGGCTAGTAGATCCTCTTATTGTTCCCTTTTAACACAGTGGGCTTCGCTGATAGCTCAGTTGGTAAAGAATCTGCCTACAATGCAGGAGACCTGGTTTGGTTCCTGGGTTGGGAAGAAGGGATAGGCTACCCACTCCAGTATTCTTGGGCTTTCCTTGTGGCTCATCTGGTAAAGAATCCACCAACCTGGGTTCAATCCCTGGGTTGGGAAGATCCCCTGGAGAAGGGAAAGGCTACCCACTCCAGTATTCTGGCCTGGAGAATTCGATGGACTGTATAGTCCGTGGTGTTGCAAAGAGTCAGACACAACTGAACAACTTTCACTACTTAACCAATGAGATTTTAATTAACTTGCACAAGTCATAACCAGTGAGCAGTGGACCCAGGATTCAAACCCAGTACATCAGATTTCAGAACTGGTGCCTTTAACCACTAGGATACCTTGCTCCTCATGAATATTCATAAGTATCAAACTCCAAGAAGGCTGCACATGCTCCTAAATTGATGCTTTTTAACTGTGGTGTTGGAGAAGACTCTTGAGAGTACCTTGGACTGCAAGGAGATCCAACCAGTCCATCCTAAAGGAGATCAGTCCTGGGTGTTCATTGGAAGAACTGATGTTGAAGCTGAAACTCCAATACTTTGGCCACCTCATGTGAACAGTTGACTCATTGGAAAAGACCCCGATGCTGGGAGGGACTGGGGGCAGGAAGAGAAGGGGATGACAGAGGATGAGATGGATGGATGGCATCACCGACTCGATGGATATGAGTTTGAGTAAACTCCGGGAGTTGGTGATGGACAGGGAGGCTTGGCGTGCTGCAATTCATGGGGTCACAGAGAGTCAGACACGACTGAGCGACTGAACTGAACTGAATGTTGAGAGAGTACCCGATGACCAGCTTTGCTCATAACTGCATGTCTGCATCCTCATTCAGTCATGACCAACTCTTTGTGACCCCAGGGACTGTAGCCCACCAGACTCCTCTGTCCTTGGGACTTTCCAGGCAAGAATACTGGAGTGGATTGCCATTTCCTCCTCCAGGGGATCTTCCCAACATAAGGATCAACTCACATCTCTTTCATCTCCTTGAACTGACAGATTCTTTACCACTGAACCCCTTTACCACTGGGAAGCCCTTGCTCATAATTACTCAGAGACATTTCAAATTGTTTTCAAATAAGGTTGTTAGTCTGAAAATAATTAAGAAAGAAACCATTTTTAAAACAGCAGGAAGGGGTGATGTGTAGAGGTCCACTTTGACATTTTGATGTGCACTTAAACACATAGCTCAGGGCTATAAGAAGACACTATGCTGGGAGAAGGAATGGCAACCCACTCCAGTGTTCTTGCCTGGGAAATCCCATGGACGGAGGAGCCTGGTGGCCTACAGTCCATGGGGTCACAAAGAGTCGGACACAACTGAGCGACTTCACTCACTTTATGGCTGATTCATGCTGAGGTTTGACAGAAAACAGCAAAATTCTGTAAAGCAGTTTTCCTTCAATAAAAAAAAAAAAAGACACTATGCTAAGACTGCAGAAGCATTAAATATCAAATTGCCTTATTAATTTTCTAGAGAACTGTAAATGACATCGTATCATCTCTGGGGAAATATTTCCCTAAAGCTCCAAGCCTTTTGGTGACCAGGATGAATAAATTGGTCTTCTTCCTTTTTGTTTCTGCATTTTCTGCTCTAGAGGGCCAAAAGGAAACCATCTCAATTTAAGATTTAAGCTTTATTTGTTGAAGTTACTAGCTAGTTAAACCGGAAGCAAGAAAAGCATTTTGTGTTGGCATGACAGTAGAAAGCCTTTAGCCACATTCCAATTTAATGATGGAAGATTAGCCAAGGTTGTTATTAAGTTTTAATCTCTTCATTTAACTAATAAGTTGGTTAACACCCTTCCTGTCAAAAAGCTTTACAAAGAGAGAAAAAAAAAAAGCTTTACAAAGTCTTGACTGTTGATATTTTAACCAGCTTACCCTGTTGTATTTTGAGTAAAAGGCACTACATCACAGACCACAAAGTTTCCTCAAAAGCTCCAGAGAAACAAATAGATGGAGAAAAAAAGTCCAAGGGTACAATAATCCAGAGACTTGAACCTGCAGCAAAATGGAGTTTCTCCAAATTAGGCAGCAGGAGAAGCAACAGATAAGATCCAACTGGCAACTGAAGATATCCTTGTTATTCCCTGGGCTAGAATCATGCTGGCAGAAGCTTTAACTAACTAAATTTACTTGCAAGTTCTCCGAAAGGAGTGATCATATTGCACCAGGGTCACTTTTTATAACACTGCTATTTTGCAAACAAGTTCCAAGGACCTTAACAAGTTCCTAGTAAAATATTTGACTTCTAAACCTCAATATAAGTATTAAAATGTCAGCATGTCCATTACATGTCCCAACTATAAAAGATGTGTGTTTAACTATCTACTGAAAATGGAAACTCCAGTAATTTTTATGACTTCTTAGAGCATACAGTCTTCATTTTGAAATACTAAAAGCCTCCAGGAGGTATTTATCCAAAATTAGCCTCCTTATGCAAAGAACTGACCCATTTGAAAAGACCCAGGGAAAGATTGAAGGCAGGAGGAGAAGGGGATAACAGAGGATGAGATGGTTGAATGGCATCACCAACTCAATGGACATGAGTTTGAGTAAACTCCGGGAGTTGGCGATGGACAGGGAGGGCTGGCATGCTGCAGTCCACGGGGTCGCAAAGAGTCGGACACGACTGAGCGACTGAACTGAACTGAACTGAACTGAATGACACCTTGGGATAGCCCTGTTCTGGCAGCACCTGTAGCCAGATCTGGTTACAGTTGTTAAATCTAATGCTGGAGCTGCTGACCTCAGGAAGACCGGTGTCCTCTTCAACAGCAGGTCCCTATTCTGGTCAATAAAAAATATGCCCTATTTAATTGCCTTCAGGGCTGTTCTGTTTGCTCAGGTATCTGACGAGCATAGTAGCCTTGTCACAAAGTATTAATGGAGTTTTCATCTCTTCCCCAAATAAGTTGCTCTGTAGTTAATTAGCATTACATTTCCCAGAAGAAATACTCACTTGGCTTAATACACAATAACATTAATCAATTTATTGATTAATTAATCAAATATGTATTGAACATCTATTATATGCTAAACATTGCAACATTATGGAGATACAAAAATTAATGACAAGGAATGTCTTTCATCAATAAGCTCACTTTAGGAACTCGATAATTGTGTAAAGGATCCAGATTAGATCCTCTATCTATATTTTATCCACTTAACCCAAACTTCAAAGCCTACTTCAGGACTTACCTCTTCATCCACTCATTTAGGAAAACTTTATTGGGTTCTTAAAACTGTGTTAGGTACTGGAATGATGAAGATGAAGAGAATATAATCCCCAACACCAGGAGCTCCCAGCCTTGCGGGGAGGTGGACAAAGTAGAAAGGACCAATTGTGGAAGACAGTGTAAGCCAAGCTAATCAAAGAGTGTGGGTTTTATGACAACAGCAAAGAGCTATTAGACAACCCTAAGGAAGAGAATTGTGATTAAATTTGCATTTTATTATAGAAAAATCAACTAAGCAATGACAGAGACAACGGATAATAAGGTAGAATGACCAGAGGGAAGAAACCAGAGGGGAGGAAAGTCCAAATTCCAAAATGATCTAAGAAGTAGAAATAACATTTTAATAACAAACTGAATGTGAAAACTTAGGGAGAAGATGAAGTCCAAGATGACTTCTATGATTCTGGCCTGAGTGGCATTAGCAGCAGGAGAAGGAAGAACAGGATTAGTGGGAAAATGAATTCAACCTTGAACATTGCAGTTGCCTTTGGAATAGCCAGGTGTCAGCATCAGGTTTGCTGTTATAAATATTTGTCTAAAACTCATGAAAGAAGTAAGTGTAGGAGGTAAGGATTCAGGAGTCATCACCTTATAGACTGGCTGAAACATGATTATGGATGACATTGCCAGTTCTGTAGACATCCCATACAATTCCCTAGTTCCAAATGCCTTTTACTCATCTGACATTCTTTTTTTTTAATTGATCTATTATTCATTAATTAATTTCTTCAATACATATGGAACTTTGATATCATATTCCAGGTGATGCAAAAGACCCTGGGTGCATATAGATAAATAAGCTTTAAAAAAAAAAAATAGCATATCTATTTGGCTGCATCGGGTCTTAGTTGTGGCATGTGGGATCTACTTCCCTGACCAGGGATCAAACCCAGCCCCCTGCACTGAGAGTGTGGACTCTTAGCCACTGGACCACTAGGGAAGTCCCAAAAGTTTTGATTCCCTACCCTAAAGGATAGGATCTCATAACCTGGCTGTCAACTATAAACTAACTCTCTAATTATGTGTGTGTCTGTCATGTCTCTAGGAAGAGAATAAACTCCCAAAGTTTATCCTCATAAAAAAATTAAAAAAAAATTTTTTTTAATCTCTGTAAAAACCTAGCACAAAGTTCTGTTCATTGTAGATGCTCAGTGTGAGCCTTGAAAGATAGATTCATTACTTATTTTAAAACATAAACCAATTCATTTATTTTTAAATACTTTTTGGGGAAGAGATCTGACTAGAAAAGTATTAAATTTTCATTATAAAAATTTAGAAATGACATTAAAAAGATAAAACAATAATCATTAATATACTGTCCAAAGAGAACCACTATTAATATTTTATGTGAAATACCCATAATCCTTTCTCTAAGTATAAAAACATGCCTTATTACATTTTTGGTAAAAGGCATCATATTGAACATATTTTTGTGTCACTTTTTTAAATTTAAAAATGCTATATCACAAGCATACTTTAGTACCAGTAAATATAGATTTTCATCATAATTTTAAAACCATTTTATTATTCCATTGTATGACTGTCCTATAATTTATGTAGCAGGTCCTGCACCGATGGAAACTTAAGTTTCCTAAGAAAAGATACTTTTAAAAAATAGGCCATCTGTATGTCTTCCTGGGAGAAATGTCTGTTGAGTTCTTTGGCCCATTTTTTGATTGGGTCATTTATTTTTCTGGAGTTGAGCTGGAGGAGTTGCTTGTATATTTTTGAGATTAATCCTTTGTCTGTTGCTTC